ATCACAATCGTTTCAGGCCTACTCAGCTCAGCAGAGACCGCTTTGCAGGAATATCCCCTTCAACCCTAAACTCAAAACCCTAAAACCTAAACCCCAAACCCTTAACCCAAAACCCTAAACCCTGTTCCCAAACAGCACCCTGGGCCTGCTGAAGCTTCCGCTTTCCAGCTTCGGAATCCGGATACCTAGCTGCTTTTGTACCGATTATGGATGATTATAGGGTTATACAGGATGTTTTATCGGACCTTTTTCCAACTTGCATAGGGTTTAGGGTTTAGGGTTTTGGTGCAGGGTATTTTACAGGGTTATGTTGGGGTTATATTGGGGTTTATGAAAGGATAATGGAAAAGAACATGGAAACTACAATAATGGGTTATACTGCATTCTGGGGTCTATGTGGAGCCCCCCTATTTTGGAGAACTACCATGTATAACTCGTCTGTAGGGAGCAATACAACCAACATGAGCGGCTTGCAGCATAGGGTTTAGGGTTTAAGATGGTTTAGGGTTTAGGATGGTTTAGGGTTTAGGGGTTCTAGTCCCTCTTAAGTAGATAGAATATGGCCTTGGGTAGTTTATAATTAAGATCCCCATATATCCCATATTCTATCTACCTAAGGGGGACTATAACCCCAATATCTACCCTATTATAATACAGCAGTGTCCATTTTCTTTTTCATTATCCCTAACCCTAATATTCTATCTACATAAGGGGGACTATGACCCTATATAATGTAGTCGTTACCATTTTATTTTCCAGTCTCCCCATATAAACCTATACAGCCCCCATATTCTATCTACCTAATGGGGACTATAACCCCAATATATACCCTATTAAAATACAATAGTTTCCATTTTCTTTTCCATTATCCCCAGAAAACCCCATTATAACCCTAATATTCTATCTACTTAAGGGGGGCTATGACCCTACATGTTTCCATTTTATTGTCCAGTCTCCCAAAAAAAAACCTATATAACCACCATATTCTATCTGCTAAGGGGGACTATAACCCCTAAACCCTAAACCCTATATTCTATCTACCTAAGGGGGACTGTACATACTGGAGGCGCACTCCGCGGCTAGAATCTCTCGATCTGGATGCGAGGATTCCCCGGAGTGCCATCTGGCGATCATCTCCTCGCACCTGAGACTCAGCGTTTGGGGTTTAGGGTTTAAGGGTTCAGGGTTTAGGGGTTTAGGGTTTATGGTGGAATATAATAGGAATATATCACCAGGGTCCTTATATTCCATTACATTCCTATTATATTCTTGGGGTTCCCTGTTTGGGTTCCCAGTAAAGTCCCTTTGGAGACTCAGGTGGGAAGGACATGGACGCCCACGGTACATTGTATAAATGTATAACCCATTATTGTAGTTTCCATGTTCCTTTCCATTCTCCCTCGATAACCCTAATTTAATCTAACCCTAATATTACCCTAACATAACCCTAATATCATGGAGATTTGTATGTGAATCTGTGCAGAGAATGCCGGGGCCATGCTTAGTTTGGCAAAGGTACAGGTCAATGCATACCTGCATCATTACCCAAATCAATCAATAAAAAAAATGCGTTCGAGCTGGGCACGTCTGCTGGCAGTCATCAAAGAAGGACTTCTCTTCATCCTTTGGAAGTCTCTGTTCTTCAGGAAGTGCCTGCGCAAACTCTGAAAAGCCGCGATTGTCGGCACGTCGTCTGAGGTAGATGCAACACCAACGGGAGCCGTCAGTAGGAAAAGAACCAAGAAAGGCTTGTACTATTGGCAACTTTGGCTCTGGCGCCCCTAAACCCCAAACCTAAGCCCTAAACCCATTATAGCAGTATTCCATTTTTCCATTATCCCCATATAACCCCAATACAACCCTAACATTACCCAACCCTAAAACCCCTGAAGCCCCTGGTATGCCTCCCAAGCTCTGGTCATGTTCTCCAGAGTGGTTGCAAACTGCTCCGCGGTAATTGGCATCTCAGGGCAGAGCTCACACGATCTTGCAGCCACATCACTCTTAGAATAGCCGTACAAGTCAGGATGATCAGAATGTTCTTGTTTTTGGAATTTGATAGTAGTACTATGAATGCTATTAGCAATAAGAATACATCTTAATAATGATAACAAGAATAACAATAATATAGCAACAGCAATAATAACACTATTAGTAATAACAAGTAATAGAAACAATGATAATAAGGTAATTCAGTAATAAGGTGCTGTTCAGATCCGTCGGCTCCGGACCCGCCCTCCCTGACAGGCCTTGGCAGGAAGATGCAAGCTGCTGACTTTGAGCCAATGGCTGCCTAAACAGCAGCGGCATGTTGCCACCTGCTATGCCACGATTCCCAAAAATTAGCTGGTTGGTTTTTGGGGTGTTCCCATAATAAGGATTATAGCATCTTGGGGTCTATGTTGGGGTTTAGGGAAACACCCATCTGGGGCGTGATCACCGCACAGCCCTCCAAGTGTAAGGGCCAAGCGAGAAGCAACGCGCATTTCGCGGTAACGAGGTCGGAACACGCCGTTCCTCCTAGAGTTGGGAGGCGACTGGTTTAGACCAAGCCACCACCCACAAGCAGGCTGCGTCGAAATCAATAGGCCGAGCGCTTTCAGCGCGTCAAGCAAACTGATCTAAAGGAAAACGCCTGACTCCTCAGCCAGGTCAAAGGTGTTGAAGTCGGAAAGCTTTGTATGATTCTGTTGCGTTGGCTTTTACTAGTTAGCTTGGGTTGTGAATGCCAGCAAAGGCCTACGTCTGCAAAGCTCGCAAAGCCGCCATCCACTCTTCTCGCGTGTGCGCAGAGTCAGTGCAGTCAAACCTCATCTGCGCTGCAAAATGATTGATGTAGCCAGCGGGCGCTGGGGGCGCTGCTCGAACGTCCTCTGGGCATCGCTCATGTCCTGCAAAACAGGGAGTCCGTTGCCACCAGGACTCCAAAGCAAGCGACATGTTTGCAGGCATGTTTAGAGCTTCCCACCGTGCCTTGAGGGAACCATCCTCGCAGCAGATCCAACAAAACATGTCAAAGCATGATAGCTCAGAAAAGTCACCACGACGCGGAAAACTTCATGGACTGCCATGTAATTGCCACTGTAAGACCTGCGGATGGCCACCGTGTAAACAAGCTTTTGATTGCAAAGGAGTCAAACCGGCAAAACTTCGCAGAACTTTAGAATGCCCAACAGAATTCAAGGTTCAGGTGAAGTCAGCCATCGCCACTGACCACTTAAGTCTGTTGAAGTTTTTTAAAATTTCTACCGGAGCCAAGGGATGCATAAATCCTGAATCTCCCTTGAATGATGGACATCGGGGAATCCAGAATCAACCAGCTGATCCAAAAGAATGGTCTGCGTGCGTGTGCAGAAGCCCGGTTTCTAGGCTGAGGGTACTTGGAAGCTTGCAGGGGTTAGCGCAAACCATTGTGACGTTGGCCGACGAAGATCGCAATTATCTGGGAAGGGATTTGGAAAGTCGGGCACGTTCTCTTTCTCCAAATCCGGGTTCTCTCTCAAACATGGCAAGTGTACAGCATGCTTGGCGGGCGACAGTTTGACATGCTTGCGTATTGGAGAGCAGTTTGAGCAGAATGGAAGTGTTCGCATGTTCAGGAAACAGGCTGCCAGGAACTCCCCACGAACCGTGAAACCACTAAAGTTCTTGGAGACAATGTTCTAGACAGTACTTTCCTTTGCAAGAGTTTCCACTGACTGGTCGGGATGAGGACTTATGTAGTCCCCCAGTCCACTGCTGTCCCGTGCTCCCTGTCAAGGGATCTCCTTGTTGGACTGCCCAAACGATTATTGTGAAAAGATCCAGCAAGCAGGCATTTTTCGCTCTCTTTCTTTGCAGCTCTTCCAGCCAGGTGAAGTGATATACAAGACGTACATGTGTGGAGAGGCTCACTATGTGGCCAATGCGCAGGACTCAAAGGTTGAAGCTTTGTATCTGCAAAGAACTTAAGCTGAACCACTAGCCAAACCTCTGAAATGTTGGTAAACCGGGCAAACAGTGTTTCTGGCTCCTTCCAGGCTCCATCGACTGCCTCCAACGCAAACACGGCCGGATTCTTGTCATCGGGGACCACACGAGCACGGCTTACGGCGAAGTTGATGAAGCCTCCCGGTCTTCTGAAACTAGGGTTTTACAGTGTAGATCAAAGTCTATTGGCATGAAGGCTGACAGCATGATGAACAAACAAGGACCTTCACATAGCGATGAGCAGCAATTGGAGTAAGCACGTTAGACCAGCTCCCACAATGACAACGGAAGAACGCAGCAAGGACAGAAATATCAGATGCCAAGTAGAACCATAACGATACAAAGGCAGAAAAGTGCGCTCAGAACAAACCAAGCCTCTAGACTGACAAGCATATCTCAGGAGGCAACCCTGAAATCTTCCTTGCCTTTGCATCCAGATGGGTCTGACTGCGCCAAGTCAGCGGCACTTTTCGGGACATCGTGATCTCTCCTGACCAATCTCGGCCAACCGGCAATTTCCCCAATTGCGTGGGCTTCAAAAAACTACCTATCAAGAGCGTGTCGTAGCAAGAGGAGCGTCAAAACAGATCAAGACGACAATGACCCTTGTAATGAGGACCCGCAAGAGAACATTGAAAAGCTCTGAGACTTCCAACAAAACCGTCATCTTTTTTTCCGCCTCCACCAAACGAGCCGCTGCCCCTGAACCACGAAGAACCTGACAAGCAGGGAAGGCACTGGGGCCTTGCATATTAGGGTGGTGATTAAAGGCTGCCACGAATGTCTCTGGAACTTAATTACTAGAGGGCGTCAGAGCTTCAACGATTTGCTGCAGGACTTGCAGGTTTCTTGTATGGCTTCTCATGAATATGCTAGAGGGGTCCTCAAAGTGATGTGTAGGGTTTAGGGCCTAAACCCTTAACCCTAAACCCTACTTTGGGGTTTGAAACTTGAAAATCTGAAAAAATACCATGTCTTCAAGAATGCACTCAGCTCAGGAGGCCACCGCCAGTCCCAGGACTTCATGAATCGCGCAGATGGGCTCTTCTTGTAAAGATATCCGCCTCAGCATATGAGCTATAATCTAAACTCCTAGTGTCCCCCTTAATATCCCCTATAGTAGTCCCTTATATAATCCCCTATATAACCCCATTTAAGGAGTTTAGACTATAGCTCATATGGCACTTTCACAAAGTCAGAGGACCCTAATATAGACACCAAAGTACTTTTGTCCGGATTAAAGGGTACCCGAAAAAAGGTAGCCGCAATTTTGGGAAACATCATAATAAACATGAAGCCATCAAAAGAAAGCCCTGACTGCAACAACTAAACCGATCCCTCCCACATCAATGCATGGTATGCTCTTCTAAGATCCTGGCGGAATCCACTTTCCGCACCAGAAGCCTTAGGAATTGGCGAGCCGACGCACAGTAACTCTAGCGACCTTCTCGCCTGACATCACTGCGGCTGCCCTTTCACTTGTTGCTGTTATGATCGTCATGAACGTGGACGTCACTCTCATCAACATTTACTTTGCTATTCTTGGAGGTTCCTATGTGGCTTCTTTGACACGCTGAGCTAGCCACGTCCACCATACCAGGAAGCGCATCCAAGGGCTCTCGGAGGAAAGACTCGATGCTCTGAGGTGCGGCTTTTGCGATGTCAGAACTTTCAATTTGGGTCTTGTCCGTCTCCGCAGCCACTTTTCCTATCTTCTCCTGGCCCACAGCAGTTGCATTTCTCGGCAAGTTAGCCAGCTAGCCGCTAGTAATCAAAAGGATTCAAAAGGGGATGTCCTGCGCCTGCTCTTTCTCCGCTTTTTCCTTCTCCTCCTGCTCTCTTGCTGCCCTCTCCTGTTCGACCTTCTCCTTCTCGGCTTGCTCCTTCTCTGCCCTCTCCTTTTCCTCCATTTCCTTCGCTGCCCTCTCCTCCATTTCTTTTTCTGCCCTCTCCTTCTCTGCCCTCTCCTTCTCCGCCTTTTCTTTCTCGGCCTTCTCCTGCTCCGCCTTCTCCTGCTCTGCCTTCTCCTGCTCCGCCTTCTCTCTCTCAGCCTTCTCTCTCTCCGCCTTCTCCGTCTCCGCCTTCTCCCTCTCCGCCTTCTCCTTTTCCTCCTTTTCCTTCTCGGCTCGTTCTTTTTCGGCCTGCTCCTTCTCAGCTTTCTCCTTTTCGGTCTTCTCCCTCTCGGCTTTCTCCTTGACTTCCTTATCCTCTGCTTCAGACAACTTTGGAGGCCAGTTTGCGGCCTTCGGACTTGCCTTCACAGCCGGGTAGCCGGCCTGGCTGGTAGGACTCGTGGTGTCCCCCTCCGCTTCCCTCCGTCGCTTCTCCTCCAGGCGCCGCTTGCGCGCAGCGTCGTTATTCCGGGTCAGCTGCTTGTCAATCTCGCCACGGAAGTAGGGATCCGTCACCGGATAGCCCAGCTTGCACATCATGGGGTTGGACTTGAGGGCATGCAGGAAAGCTTCCGTAACCAGTCTCCCATTGGCAGTGTTGTTGCAGCGCAACTCCTGTCGGACAAGTGGGGGTCGGTGCGGTTGGACATGCTCTTCACGTCTAACTTCGATTCATGAGCCTGCAAGGCTTGGTTCACGCTGGTGCCCTTAGCAATAGACTCCAGCGTGAGCGGCTGGATGGCATTCGTGTCAATGTTCAAGACCTTCGAGAAGGTGGGATGCAAGGAGAGGAGCTAGCGGCTGGTGCAGAGCGAAAGCATCCGAGCCCCTGGCCTTTAGAGAGCTATTGGAGCGGAGGGACACTGCCAGAATGGCCGCTTCCGGGTCTTGGAGGTTGGTGCAACCCATCAACCTCACGGACAAACGGCCTGGTCTCCCTCTCACTTGTGCTTGCGCTAAGTGCTTGGGGCTCTGCTGCTTGCGAGAAGATCGGCTAAAAGAATCCATCCAGCGCTCTTGTAGTCACTCCCTCCATCTCTCACACCATCGAAAGGTGCCAAGTGACAGCTGCTCAATGTGCGTGTTGCCTTCGCGAATGACACAGGGTTGGGGCGAGGGGGGGCAAAAGAAACATGTACTTGTGTTGCTTGGCGCCAGACTCTCCATGGCCACCGCCAACTTTGGCGAGATGAGGGGCTCGACACTGCCCTCTGGCATCTTCAAGTTGGTGAAATCCTCAGTGGGACCCGAGCCAGCAACAACAAACTACAGCATTGGCTACTCCGGCACAAGCGTGAAAGAACCACCCAATCTGAGAAGATCAAACAACGCCCCAGGATGCTGCCTGCACCAAATGCATCTGGCAAGGGGTTCTTGTACCACCAGCATAGCCAGCATGGCCACTTGTCTGTTAGTTATGCTTACATGCCGAACGAATCCTTGCTTCAATGCTAGGCTACGATTATCAGGAGCAGGGGCTCTAGACCCTAGACAGTTTTCATCTATGGCGCTGCTGCACTTCACATCATTATCCTAGAAATCACATTTCAAGCGCACCGGCTTGAAAAAGCTGTTCCTCTCTGGGAAACGCCCGCATGGCTCGACAGCCGGGTTGCAAACTTGACCAATGTCGGATCATCCAGGTGAGCCCTGTGCACCATCCAAATCATCCAGTTGCCTCGTTTGGATGACTGCTCTTGCAGCACATGGGCATTTACAAAATCAAACAATGCCGTTTGGGGAGCTCCTATCATAAGGGTTATAATATGTGTACGTATTTATACAGACCAGGATTCATATTGGAAGCCCAATTCTGGCGACCCCCATATTGAAAAAAAGAATTGTCCAAGTCATGCGAGCTGCCTGTTTTGGACGACTTGCTGGCCAGTGCCTCATGAATCAAGATGTACTGAACTGCAAGCTCAGAGCAACGGAAGCGTAGGAGGTATCCAAAGATGTGCAAAAGAATGGCGACAACCTCGTAACGGTACTTTTAACAGTACTCGGCCTCCTTCTCCAAACTGTGGAGCTCTGTGGCTTCCGTACAAGCCAACACTCGCCTCGGCAAACAAGCTCATGGCAAGTTTCATCAGGCTGAGAACAAAGCCGCTGAGCTGCTTCACAAAGTCCTTGCAAAAAGCTTGCAGCATGCAGGGCCCAGCAAAAGGTTAACAAGCAGGCTCTCCTCATCAAACGACTGTGCCCAGAGGTCCGCAGCTTTTGAAGCCTTGCACTGGCTTTCATGGAGATCTGGATGCAGTGGAGCTTACCGGCTGTTGGTTGCAAGCTATGCTGATTGAAAGATTCAGTTTCACGCCTTTAAGCCACTTAAAAATCTCCGATGCATTTCAGATGAATTTCCGACGTGTAGCCCTACATTTTCCTTAAACTGCAACCTCGCCGCCAGTGGGATTCCGGGTTCCCAAAAACGTTCTGGCGCATCTCTGCTCAACTGGTGGCGCCTCCAGCCCTATTGCAAGTCAGAATGACTTGGATTTACTCTTTTCCTGCGTCTTGGCACTAGTCTGCAGACGGTAAATCCTTTGCCACCCTTGACACATGCGCGCATTGTGTTAGCAGGGCCAACCCTACATTACACAATCCCTACAAATAATCCTACGTCTCAATGTCATGTTCTTTTTCTGAAAGCATGTCCGAAAAGGATGCAAGGATCTCACGGCACTTCAAGAGATGTCTTCTCAGGTGGCCTTGGCTGGCGGCTCCTCTGCAACTGGTGCTGTGGGAACCTGCAAAGTCGGCGTGGGCGACTTCGACTGCATTGTGTAAACATTGGCGTTAATATGAGCTTCAGCATTAATCTTTGCATTGGTATAAGGATGAATCTGAATATTCGCGTACGGATTAATGTTACCGTCGGTGCCAACTAATACTAGTACTAGTACTAATACTAGTACCAGTATTAGTAGTAGTAGTAGGCGCCCC